ATAATTAGAACGTGAATATATAAAGTTAATAAAATTCATATCATGGTTTCGTAGAGGCCGGTCTTTTGATCAGGTGCGTGGGAGTGCTCAATTAATGACCTTCCTCCCTCATACCTAAAGTTCTTAGCCAAGCATCCTTGGTTACGACAAGCAGTGGCCTTGGAATGAGTCATAGGTTTCCTAATTTTTTCAAAATATTAGGCGGCGACTCTGAGATCTGATGACGCAGTCCATTTTTGGCAAAGGTTTTTGCAATAAAATGGATTTTCTATCAAATTTTCAAATCTGGACTCTCATCTATGTTTCACATTGCACTCATGAGACTAGACATGCAGGTAAGCCCTGGGCAACGTGACAGCCTTCTTCCACCAAAACTTTTTCCTAGTCTTCTACCATCTTTTCAACTAGAGTTCCTCTAACATCATGTAGTACAGGCTGATCTGCTACCTTGATCGTGTGGACTTGATTACAAAATTATTTGGTCTTCATAGCAACCATGAAACAATGGTTTGTTGTAACTTGGTTCCCCTTGATTTGTGGTACATCATGTTTTGTCGAGAAGCGGATGACCTGGTGATAAGTCAAGGGGACTGCTTCCATTCGATGGATCCAGGGTCAGCCAGGGATGGCGTTGTTAGGAGATGGAGTGTTCATAACCAAAAACTCAATCTGAAGAGTCCTTGTCCCAACTACAATAGGTAAAGTTACCCTACCGAGTGGCCATTCTGCCTGGGAATTGAAATCGACCAGCGATGCCGTCATTGGGATGAGATTTTGCTCGGTAAGACCGAACTTCCTGAACATATCATAATACAAAATATTTACAGCACTTCCCTAATCCACTAGGACTCATTTCATATCGAATCGTTTTCCAATCCCAACAATAATAATCAATGCATCAGTATATGGATATTGAATACCTTCTAAATCTTTCTCAGTAAATAAAACATTACGTAAAGGAGATTTAGGTTCTGTTCTAATCTCTTTCAGTACTGGACCGACTGACATTACTTGCTGAAGTTATATAGCCTTTGCAATTTCTCCTTAAAGTACTTCCTCTTGTTGAAGATTGGTCATGCCATGGATCATGTTGGTGACCAGTTGAGGAGAATGCTCAACATTCTGCTGCGGTGGTCGGTTCTCCTGTTCGACTACAGTCATGTTTGGATCGATATACTCCTAGAGGTGTCTAATAGCTACAAATCCTCCAAATGCTACTTCAACGCTCTATAGTTCTGAGTCATGTGCCCTTTATCCTGGTAATAGGCACACCAGAGCTTCTAATTGCGCTGAGCTAGATCTCCTAACATCTTCAGTGGCCAAACAAAGTATGGTTCCCTCTTGATTTTCTCTATGAGGCGGTAGATGGGTTCTTTGAACACTATAATGATATCTTTGTGGGACTTGGATTTGTCTATCTCATTTACTGCAACTTCAAGGGATTCTCTTCAATCTGTTCTTTGTTGATCCTTCCGGTTCGACTGCTTGGCCGACACTACTTTGATGGGAATCTGATCATCCTCAAGACGAGCTTACTACTCAATTCTAGCTCGTAAATCCTTCGGGGTGGTGGCTGGGCACTTTGTAAGAGATTGCCTCAATTTGCTCTCTGGACGCAAACCACGCTTAAAAGACATCACTGTCATCTGCTCACTGCAGACGTTCTCCTCAAACTCATTATATTCTTCCCAATAACTCCTTGCATATTTATGCAATGTTTTATCATTTTCCTTTCGAAGGCTAAACAATGTGTCTAACTCCTTCGGGATTTTGGTGTAAGAAACGAATCTGGCTAGAAATTCCTTCAATAGTTGTTTCTAGTCATAAATCATGCTACTTCAACGCTCTATAGTTCTGAGTCATGTGCCCTTTATCCTGGTAATAGGCACACCAGAGCTTCTAATTGCGCTGAGCTAGATCTCCTAACATCTTCAGTGGCCAAACAAAGTATGGTTCCCTCTTGATTTTCTCTATGAGGCGGTAGATGGGTTCTTTGAACACTATAATGATATCTTTGTGGGACTTGGATTTGTCTATCTCATTTACTGCAACTTCAAGGGATTCTCTTCAATCTGTTCTTTGTTGATCCTTCCGGTTCGACTGCTTGGCCGACACTACTTTGATGGGAATCTGATCATCCTCAAGACGAGCTTACTACTCAATTCTAGCTCGTAAATCCTTCGGGGTGGTGGCTGGGCACTTTGTAAGCGATTGCCTCAATTTGCTCTTTGGACGCAAACCAAGCTTGAAAGACATCACTGTCATCTGCTCACTGCAGACATTCTCCTCAAACTCGTTATATTCTTCCCAATAACTCCTTGCGTAGTTATGCAATGTTTCATCATTTTCGTTTCGAAGGCTAAACAATGTGTCTAACTCCTTCGGGATTTTGGTGTAGGAAACGAATCTGGCTAGAAATTCCTTCAATAGTTGTTTCTAGTCATAAATCAATCCAGTAGGGAGACGATCGAACCATCCGAGTTTGGATTCTCCCAGGCTGGACTGAAAGACCTTGCACATTAGTGCATTGTTTCGGTTCTACAAAAACATCATCTACCAATAGTGGTTGATGTGTGTGAATGGATCTAACTTCCCATCATACAGTGTGAACATCAGCGGGGTAAACTTCTTAGGGGGTTCCAAAGCTTCAATGTCTAGAGAGAAAGGAGAAGAGACAAATCGATCTAACACTCGGTGCTCCCTCTGATGAATAGTATAATCGAGATGTTGCACCTCTCGTTCCCGTCGTTTCTCATTTTCTCTATTCCCGATTAGCCAGGTAAGAAGATCATAGAGATGAAGAGGATACTCCTTCTGTTGGCTAACCGTTTTCTACCTTTTAGCCCTCTTTCAGCATGAACCACAGGTATGGCTGCTCGTTGTTTCACTTTACACCGGAATTGGCTAACTTCGCTGTCCATAACTATTTCCAGTGACTTCCTTCCCTAGTGGTTCCAGGGATAGGCTTCTCCAGCGCAGACGAGAAGGTTCTACGTTGCACGTCTTCTCCATTGGAACGCCCATCATCTTCTTGAGTTTTGCTTTCAATTCTTGTATCTTCATTCCCATGGAATCGATAATACGATATCTTTAGTCCTTCTCCAACCTGAAACGGTGGGTAGAGCCACCAGCAAAGAGCTAACAGTGCTTGACAAATTCTAGAGTCTGATTGTTGTTTCCAGTTTGTTCCTCCAAGCGCCAGACCTTTATCATTTATCTTCTTCGTTGGCGGAGTTGATGCAAAAGAAGGAATGTCCTCAGTTCCCATTGTTGGAATCAGATGCAGAACTCAAAAATGAAGATTCCATGCTCACCGCACCAATTGTGCGTACCAAATCTTGCACTAGATAAAAGTGGATTTAAGCTCCATAGCTGAAATGGACTATCCAGGAACTGGGATCTGCAAAACAGAACACCGTTAGAGCTGCCAGGCCGAGGTTGGTCGAAAAACCCCTCCAACGTGGGAATGAGTGATCGGAGAAGATGAATTCTCTTTAGGTGTAGAAAAAGGTAAAGAAAGAGTATTTGAGTTCAGGTGGATTAAGTTAGTTAGCTTCAACATGAATTAAGTGTGGCTTATATACAATACTTGTTGCCCAAGATGGTTTCACGGAGTTTTGGTGTCTCAAGGCTTCCCTTAACATTGCTCAAGGTGGAAGACCACAAGGTAGTTGACCATGGATACATGTGCTCATTGTAACCATACATATAACAGATCACATTTCTTTTGCGAACTATTTTCGTGATTTTAGGAGGGGGGGCCAGCTAAGGTGGTAGCCTGCACATACATGTGTTCACTGCTTCCATATTTCTCTGAGAGGTTCTTTCAGCTTGGTACCGATATGCCTCGACTCGACCTTTCATAAGATTTCTTGTAGAGATGGGTTTGCCCATTTGGATAGCTTTATGTGGCCTCGTCCCACTTCGGTTCTGATGATGGGTTCGGCCCATCAATTTGGTCCACAAATTAGGCCTTGGCAACTCGGCCTAACCCAATATCGCGGTTGGCCTGGCCTTTCCACTACGTGTTGGGCCCAAGTGCTTGAGGACTTGGGAAGATTATTCTTCATGGAGATGGGCTTCATAAATTGCCCTGCCTACTTATCTGGCCCGCTTGGGTTTGGGCTTAGTGGATTGGACCGGCCGAAAACTTAGATACAACCAGTTTATATCTTGCCCTTTCACTTGTGGTGCTGATTTAGTTATTTGCCAAGCAACATTTACAATGGAAGCAGTTACTTACGACTCCCACAAAACCATTTGTCAATTTTCTGAAGACCTTTTTGTTTAAGTAATTGTTGTCATTCTTTTAATTTGATTCTGATACAATTTGATTGTAATGTCAGTATAAAACTTCTCATCCATCACTAAATAAAGGAATCCTTGTATTATCCATAATACAATTCAATATACAGCTCTTATCTCCTTTCTTTTTCTTTCACTTTACAATCCTCGATTTAATCAAACAGTAAAAATAGAAAATTCATTTTCAACTTTCAAATCATCAACTCATTTAAATTATTTATTATTAAACAAAAACTAAACTAAACAATGCAGCCTAGATTCCCAAAATAAAAATAAAATTATAAGCAGCACCTAACATGGATAAACTCTTTGCTTTTAAAAATAAAACTATAAGCAGCACCTAACATGGATTGTGCTTTTTAAAAGTCTATGAAATCCAACAACGCAAAATTATAAACACGTGCATATTATGTCCAATAGATAGATGCACATATATAGTGTTGAGTACTCTCAAGTATCTAGACCTTTTTACATTTGGATTAGTCTATCGCATCCTAATCACAAACTATTATTGTTAACTTATCCCATCATGTCACATTATATAAATCTGTCTCGAGACGATAAAATAATGCAATCCTCCCCAATCCAACTATTGAAATGTGTGTGAGACAGACTAATAATCAGGACTCGACATCATAATGGCTATTCCTATTGAAATGTGTGTGAGACAGACTAATAATCAGGACTCGACATCATAATGGCTATTCTTCTCACCATATACAATTGAACAAAGTAGTACATGCCCCAAGGATATTACATGTGCAAGTTATTGCATGAACACAACTCAATACTTATATGGTTACATACACCAGGCACACAGCAAAGTATAACACTCCAGATCTTCTGACAGATCAAGCAACAATGGGAAACACTCCAACTTACAAAGCACAATGAAAATATTCTAAAAGACTTGTACACATACACTAAACATTGTTATAAGGTAATGCATTTCCTATAAACTATATAATAGATTGGGCTTTGAGACATTACCCAACTCTTGCAATAACAATCACATGGCATTAGTTAACAGATTCCCTGCCGAAGCCTAGTAATGACTAAACCAATATGGTGTCCCTGCACGAGCCATCGCTCAAAATCTTTGGTTCTGATTATATCCTCACAAGTAATACTATTATACATAAATGAATTTCTTACCAAATTTTCTTAACATTAGACACAAATGTAATGAGACACGCATAATAGAATATTCGTGCGACACACTACCATTGTGTCTATTGGTAAAAAAATGAAGTAAAAAAATCGCTTATGAATAGCATTTTCTTGTTTCTCATGGCCCTAGTCTGTAAGGACCTTGGCCTTCACCCATGTAGTGTCCTTCAACGTAAAGAGCTGCATTCTGAGGATGGAGTCCATCCATAACCATAAATTGCATATCTTCAGAAGGTTTCCAGTGTCGTTTCCTTTGGTTGATGAACCAGTTATTAATTTGTTTCTGGTCCAAACCTGTTGATTCAGCCAAGGCCACCTTCTCGCTCTCCTGTGTGATTATCACAACAATCTGTCTTAATAACTCAAGAATACAATCTTTATCTTAGAATGCTATGTTAATTTCATAAGAAAAGCTTGAGAATATAGGCTGAAGAGGATGCACGTACTGATGGGTATGGCCATTTGTAGTGTAACTCCCACCAATTGAGTAGCTTTTGCCGGGCATCTTTGGGTAGCTTCCCTTTCTTCTTTTTCTTGGATAGTTCTTGCTTGAGACTACTCAAATAACCACTGTACTTCCTCAACAGGTGGTGCTTAAGTTCCCGATCTTCAGCACGTGGGTCAATCTCTGGCGGTTCTGTTTCTCCACCACTATTGTCTTGATCCTCTTCAGATGAACCAACACCCTCACATTTTTCATCTGTGCATATTGATTGGAAAAGCATTAACAAAAAAATGAACTCCAAAGCAAAAGAATGCAGCATCAAAAAATATTATTTCCTGACAAACAATATTTAAACATCTACCGGCCCTAATTAAGCAGTGATTGCCTAACCACACAACTCTGTCTTGATAGCAATTTTGGCACATTCATCATAGATTCTTTATGCACTTGCATAATAAAAACAATCACACAAAATGACACAAAATAATTCAATGAAAGGGAATCATAGCCTGCTCCTTTTTTCTTTCTCTATTTACTTGTTTTTCCTCTTAAATGAATCCAAAAGCAAAAAAGGGTCCTGCTTTCCTAATCATCAATGTTCATAAATAAGAAACACAACTCAACCTGTACATTACTGATAAGAGTAACATGCCTAAGCAGGTTCAGCAACAACAGCAGCTACAGCTGCATAAGTGTTTGATCAATGTCTAGCTCAAGATCAACAGCATTACATGATCAATACAGCAGCAGTAACTTGGTGTATCCATGTGTAACTAATCTAATAACAGAGATGTTTGTAAATGTTTCAGTTAGTGATAGCTGTAATTTCTGTCAACTCGAAGGTAGTTAATCTGTTAGAGATGATCTCTAATATAAAATTAGATATAATATACTTTCCCAGCCCATGCATAAACTGTAAACAAGTAATGTGTCTACTAGACCAGCAACTATGAACATTGCCAGGTATCAATACCATCCCTTTCTTTTGTTTCTTATTTGTAATGGTTTACAATTACATACTCCCAAAGTCAAATTTTCCAAAAAAAACTTTTAAAGCTTTCACTTCAATAGGAATGTGGCACGGGAGTTAATTCAGCAGCAGCAAATGTGAGATACCCAACCAGTGCAACCTCCTCCCCTCTTACCATGAACTAAGATAGTAGTAGAGTTTCTTTTTCTTTTTCCCACTCAACCCTAACCATCCACCTCTCAAAAATCCACGTCTCAATTATACCCATTAATCAAAATATGTATTTGTAACACCTTGAATGTATGGGTGGGTGGGATTAAATAAAAAAAACTTGAGTTTTTTTGCTGCTTCATGAACATATAATTAAAATAGGAAAGTTTTATCAGCCATTAGGATGAAAAAGCACTATACAACTTGTATGCACTTACCAAAGAAAACCACATTAAAAAGAAATAGAAAAAATAGTCTCCTTCAAAGATGATGTTTCTGCATGTGAGAACAAGGTGACATTGTACAAGGCACTGCAGGCTTACAATTTAACAATGCATAAAAATATGAATAATGTTTCATTTCATCCACACAATTTCTTCCCCCACAATCTCCACAAATGAGGTGGCAAGACATAATACAAGTTCTATACCAATTGGAGTGTGGGTCAACTTTTTAAATTTTGCTTGCCACCTCATTTGAGGGGATTGTAAATTCCCTTGGTCTTGAAGTACATATATAGTGAGAAGTTGAGGCAAAGCTAAAAGATGAGGAGACATGCTCGATTATGTACCAGTATCCAAAAGCATACTCTCTCTCTGATATTCACAAGAAAATTCTCCTTCCTGCTTTCCTTCCATCCTCCATCTCTTCCACAAATATTACAATTAACATAAATTTTTTAGATGGGATGATTAACATAATTTACATGGAACAAATTATTTATAAAAAAAAATATAAAATAAAATAAAAAAGAGTAGGTATAGTGGTGCCATGAATTGATGGTCACTTGGGCACAACTTACAGACATAACCATTAATTAAACACTAATTTTCAGAGTTCTTTCCCCAGCTGATCAACCACAAGTTTGTATGAACTAAACACTTGGATTTTGTCAAATTTACTGTAACTACTACTTCATGTAATCTCATAACAATAGAAATTATCATAATTTTGAAAGAAATGCCTGAAATTTGCAGTTAAGTCATACTCAAACTCATGTTTCTACTTTCTCCTTTTTTTCATTAATCTTTGTTCCAAAAACCTTTATAATCTGAAAGTGCAGAATAAGTTTTAGACTGTGTTTCATAAAGGCTTCTCTGATTTAATTTAAGTAATGAAAGTTTTAGGACAACTTAAGAGATGGCCACAGTGGGAAGCAGAAGCCATCCGCAGAATAGGATACATTTTCATTTTTGATAAAACTATAACAATATATATTTTCCTCCCCCACCACACCCTAGCCAAAAGGCCAGGAAAGGCAATACATATTTGGAATATACCTAATCTAGGCTGAATATCTCAACCTATCACCACTCCAATCACTTGGATTAATGCCTTCCAAATACATAATACTGAATCGGGTAGGCTTGTTGTGGGTAGAGTATGGTGTAGATGAGATTTCAAAATTTGGTAATTATATCATAGTCCTTGTAGTTTAAATGAAGTATCACTTTAGTCCCGTAGTTTTAATTTGAATAACCCTTCAAAATGAAATTTCACTCAAACTAGAGGGACCAGGGTGTAATTTACCCTTCAAAATTCTATATATATATTTTTATTATTTTAGAATTAGTAGTTGATTAGGAATATTTTTATTTTAGCGTAGAGTAGCCTAGAATTATTCAGTTTCCTAATTCATATTTTTAAGTTTCCTTATTTTATTAGATTTTTATTCAAAGTAAATTAAATTTAGTTTATTATAAATGCAAGCCTTGTATGGATCAATAGCTTTGGGTTAATAAAATTCAAGGTCATCCCCAATCAAAAAAAAAAAAATTCAAGATCATCTCTCTTTTCTTCCAACTTTGGGCATTGTGCGCAAACCAACCAACTATTAAGGTTTTTACTCCAAGTATTCTTCTAGAATCCATGGGTTTAAAGTAGATTTTGCTTTTGATATTCATTCTTAAATCAACAAATTCAATATTGTTACTCTTATCTTTCTCCGTTCCACACTTCTGCTAAATTAAAACACACACTGCAGAGCTTCGAATAATTTCTTATGCACATGGAAATTGTGTGGGTCTCCTATTATTTATGAACATTTTGGTTACAAGATCAATGTTCTCAGAACTAAACTTTACCAGACTGGCTGATTTAACCGGTTGACTCATCAATCAATTTAGGTTCTAGTTTGAATAAACCACCAAACCTGTCTGCAATAGAAAACTGGCTTACATTTATGAAACCGGTAAAAAACCGCAGTTGAACCAGATTCAGTTCCAAAAAAAATATTGTTCAAAAAGTCTTGATGCCTCAGCATGTTGATTTACCAGGTTCAACCATTGTCTTGTCAAGTAGTTTTGGTTCCAGTTCAAATAAACCATCAAATCCATTTCAGATAGAAAATCGACTTATTTTTATGAAACCAGTTAGAACTGCAAAGCCTCCTCAAGTTGATTCGCCAAATAATGTAAAATTGTGTAATGATGGAGACCTTAACACCAAATCAAGTACCTAGTATTAGCATTCACCACAAGTTAACCAAACCACCAAACCTGTCTGAAATAGAAAACCTACTTTCTTTTATGAAACCAGTAAAACCACAGTTGAACCAGCTACAATTCAAAAATATATATATATATATATCTTCAAATAATCTTGACGCCTCATGCATGTTGATTTCTCAGGTTCAACCAGTTGTCTTGTTGAGTAGTTTAGGTCCCAGTCCAAATAAACCATCAAATCCATTTCAGATAGAAAATTGACTTATTTTTATGAAACCGTTAGAACTGCAAAGCGTCCTCAAGTTGAGTCTCCAAACAACGTAAAATTGTGTAATGATGGAGACCTTAACACTAAACCAAGTACCTAGTATTACCACTACTTAACTCTTCACTTTGTAATTGTTTAGTAACAATATATTATTTATTATGAATCATTACAATTTCTTTCAAATACAAAGTATAATTACTTATTTTTACAAACAATCAATTTAATTATATATGTATATACATATAAATATATATATATATATATATATTTTGGTAAGCTATGTACTTAAAAATATTTGGTAAACATATTTGAGTGAATATGTGTGTGTGTGTGTGTGTGTGACAATATAAAGATAAATTAAATAAGTGTCTTAATATCTATATTTTTTTATTTAAGTATGATTTGTAATAGAAAAAAATGGTGATAAATCCAATTTGAGGATTGCTTGAGGCATTAGGTCCACTGGATAATTTCTTTGGTGAAAAGTACACACTTTGTAAAATATTGCGGTGAGAAGTACATTTTTATTTGTTCAAAAAAAAAAAAGAGTATATTTTGTTGTTTTGGAGGACATTTTAATTCCAATTTTGCCCTTTTATTTTTTAACCTAACTATTCAAATATTTTTTTTATTTGTTAAATTTTTTTAACCTATCTGTTCAAAAAAAAATTATTTGTTAAATTTCTTTAACCTATTTTTTTTTCTTACCTACTCAAGTCTCCACAAACCACTATATATTCAAACCTACTCTATCTTCCTCGTCTCTCTTTCTACTTGTTTCTCTCTCCACAAATCCACTTCTCTCTCTCTCTCTCTCTCTCTCTCTCTCTCTCTCAGAGCAACTCTCTCTCTCTCTCTCTCAGAGCAACTTCTCATTCATTGAACTCTGATTCTCTAATCTATATTCACATTACTGTAATCATCATATGATTGCGTTTCCTCAACTCTAATATATCAATGCTCTCTGAAAGCTTCAAATCACTCTAACACCCTACTTCTGTAATTGAAGATCACTATCACAAACTACAAACTTAGAAAGAGAAAGAGAGATTTTGGATCTCAACGTTGAAATGGTTTCGTTTGATTCGAGTTGCAACGAGGTCGAGACAAAGATCATGAAGCTTCCAAGAAGTGACGATTATTCTAGAAATTCGATTTCCTCCGTCGTCAATGCAAACAAAGCTCCGACGAACAATAATAATACTCCAGACAAAGACTCGACCTCTAATCCTCCTTCCAAGCCATGAATTTCTAGCAGAGAGCTTGAAGCGATCGCAAGAACTTACCATTGAAGCTTGAAGCAATCGCAGGATTTCACGATCAAGCTAGTTAAAGCTCTCTGAAATCATGGAGGTTCAAC